CTGCTTGGCCTGCTGTGTTCATCCAGCCTTGCACCTTGTTGTCTCGGATTCTCCAGCATCTGCAGTTCCTACTATCTCTGATTCAAGGTTAAAGATATGTTGACACAATATCCAAATATTTCTCTAGCTTAAACTGGGACACAGAAGACCACTTAACAGAATTCAAAGTACATGAACAATATTCAGTACTATAATTTCTAGATTTGGGTGTATCCAATGCAGGAAAGCAAGCCTTAATAGTTTCATAGCAATTAAGAACAAAAGGTCTACCTGGTCTTAATACATCAGGATTAACAGCCAAATAGTTTTTAAAAAATCCTAAAAGACCACACTGGAAGATTGATTCAGGTTCAGATAAAAGTTCGATATTCATTGACTGAAATTGTGTTATTTAGGCAGATGCCTATGGAATCCATATTCTACATTTGAGCAGAGGTAGGGAAAAGGTCTCATTATACAATATTTCAGAAAAGCTAGCAAACAGAATTGTTGAGATGGTGATCACAACTACCACATAGAAGATTTCCAGAAAGTTTTGTCAGACATAGCAAGGGCCTCTAGCATTGAAGAGATTCTGAAGGTTTTGTACAAATATGAAGCAATTCCCACATTTTGATGCTCTTAAGTATGAATGTAATGGATGACACTACCATTAGAACATCCAAACACAAGAGGAAGATGTGGCCTTCTGTGAGCAGCAACAAAATGTCCAGCTTTCAAATAATTTTGCAAGGAATGTGGCAGACAAGGCCACTGATAGAGGTAATGTAGTAGAAGAAAGGCCGATGCAGCTACAAAGAGCCACACACCTGACCCAAGCAGACCATATACCATGAACACCTTCCAGGGGAGGTGATAGCCTAGTGGTATTATCGCTGGATTGTTAATCTGGAGACCCAGATAATGTTCTGGGGACCTGGGTTTGAATCCCATCATGGCAGATGGCGGAATTTGAATTCAATAAATATCTGGAATTAAGAGTCTAACGATGACCGTGAAGCCATTGTTGATTGTTGGAAAAACCCATCTGGTTCACTAATGTCCTTCAGGGAAGGAAACTGCCATCCTTACCTGGCCTGACCTACATGTGACTCCAGACTCTTAACCGCCCTCTGGGCAATTAAGGATGGGCAATAAATGCTGATCAGCCAGCGACACCCTCATCCCATTAATGAATAAAGAATAAAAGAAACTGCAACAAAGGCTATCTGGTATCCTACCTGAAGAATATACATTGAGTGATTGACAACCCAGAATGTGATGATCTGAACAATGAGACATTGAGTATGAACATATGGTTCACACTGTCAATATTATGGAAACTTCAATGCTACTACACTCTCTAAGTGTTTGCAAAATTTCAAAAGATCTGTTCTCAGAAAACTGGTGACTTTTTGTTAGTGGCTAAGATTAAATGTAAAAGTTTCAACACACAATTGTTCACCAATTGCACTTGCAGGATTAGTAATGCTAGAGTGCAAGAGAAGTCAATCCTCCTGGATGTTGCAGATAGTCTACATTCTAGACACTGTTGGATAAGCAATTTCAGGTATATGCACTGACCTTACACTAATCATATTCTATGGAATCAGTCAAGCATCAATGATGCAACAGAAACTGCAGCAAACTATTCAAGAAACACTTGCAGGACAGGCTTTGTAAGGGGAATGGAATACTTCACTTTCTTCTGAATTAGTGGAGCTAAAACTTCAGCTCACTCCTGTGGAGTTCAGGTAGAAAAGGCTGAACTACCAGCTCAAGATAAATCTCAAATTGAGAATACTATCTTTGAGATGGTGGAGTCCTTAGGGGACATGTCTGCTTCAAAGATGATTGAAGAGCTGAAAGAGAAAGCAAGGAATCAGGATGAATTACAAGCTCTGCAGCATCAATCCAATGAAAAGACTGCCAATTTACAAGAAGATTGGAACTACTCATAGTTAAAACAGATCAAACTCTGCAGGAACAGCCACTGAAACATTGGCTTGAACTCAAATAATTCTGGTTAAAATGCCTGACCTGCAAATGAGAAGGGTGGAGACGCATAATGTGCATAAGGAGCTGCAATTACTCACAATATAATCCTTTCAGAAATAAATGCCAGCAATGATGCTTTGGTGTCCCAAGCAGGACAAAGTGGAAACAAAACAACCACTGAAGCAAAAAGTGAAGAGGTCCAGGCTTCAAAAAAAAAAAAAGAAAAATAGGAGAATTTGGCAATTAGTAAAGCAGATTATAAACAGGAAAACATCCGTACCAACAAAAGACTAAAACTTTGATAGAATTAAAATTACTCAGAATGTAAAATCAGAAGCTTCAAAATGTGCTGATGTTCTTTAGGACCTAAACAGTAAATGCTCAGAAGATTTGAATCATTAGATTCAGCTCCCGGTCAGTGACAAATATGGGAAAAAGTTTGTTGCAATACATCAGGATGAGCAAAGTCTGGGATAGAAATTGCAGTCCATGAAATGAAAACATGACAACACACACAGGAATATACAATATATTAACAGACAATAGGCTCACTTGTTATTGTCAATATTCAAACTTTCCTTTGGAAAGGAGGTGACTGTTGTATGTATTCCTTACCTTTAAAATAATTCACCTTTATTACTCCATGTGCTATGTGTATACAATGTTGCGGCCCTGCTGGCAGTCAGTCTGCTTTGTACTTATGAGTTGCACACACTGATATCGGTTGGTTTGCTGTACATACCTTACGATATATTTTACTGCTTTAAATAACTAACCTATGGAATTAATAAATCCCTGATGAGCAATTAATTATTAAACAATTAACACTAACATGACATGGTGTTGGAGGACATTAAAGCTGGTGCAAGCAAAGTGTAACTGGATGCTTGGCTGTGAGTTGGAGTATCAGAAGGAAATGTTTTGATGAGATTAGTGATCTTTCCATGTCCTTTATTCTTCTAAATACATACGATGCACATATGCACATAAAATAGTGTCTTGTTTAAATAACACACGATGGTACTGACAGAAGGCATAATAATGTAAAATAAAAATTATTTGGCTTTCTCAGACCATTTCTTTGATTAATGCATGAACTCTGAAAAATTTAACTCTGCATTTAAATAGAACATCAACAGAAATTTAATTTAACTACCATGTCCATCCATTTTTACCTTAAGGGTAAGGTCCCGGATGATGTAATGCTCATATTCAGTAACGCTGTTTACAAGAACTTCAATGTTCCCATATATTCCCCGTTTCTCTGGCCAATATAAAACGCATTTCTGTGGCAAAATAATAGATATTTTAAATGTACAATAGTTTAGACATGATACTTGCTTAGGACAGGGTGGAACTATTTTAAAGTTATGTCTTTCCATTCATTTTATTTTGACATTGCATTCTGCTGTTGGCACACAGTCTTATTTCAATAAAGCAAACTGTACCACACAAGTGATTTAACGTTCTTAATGATCTGCACTTCATAGTATCAAGTATGTAAGTAGTATGACTTCTTTGTTGGCAATGACCAGAATAAATGTTCAGATTTCTGATTTTCATTGTGACTGTAATGACAAATTTAGAACCACTGTCTGGATTTATATTTTGCTCTACCCAAGTCTTCAGAATTTGAGATGCTGAGTGCATCCCACCTAATCGTCCCCCGGTGTCTGCTGTGGAGCTCATGGCTCTCCTACACTTTTTAAAGGTAAAACATTTGATGGCTGCATCAGGCCATTTAAGTGTTTAAATTGAATGGAAAAGTCATGAGAGAAAAAACAAATTGAGCAGGTGTGAAGGATCAAAGACAAGTCACTACACCTAAAATTGCTCCCTCAGAGCCTGATATTGCATTACCAGGTTCATAGTGCAAATTCCAGTAAAATAGAATTGTAGGTTGGGACCTTTATTCGCTTAGTCTCTGAGAAAACCTCCCTCATCTATTTTAAACAAACTTAAATCAGCACTTTTTAAACTGTTGACATAAAGTGGCGCACTTAGTTTAGCCCCGGCTACATTCTACACTATTCAGAAAATGCATTTAAACTTTTGTCCTGTTGCGATTAACCCACTTCACAATAAGCTGCAAGCTTTGATCAATTTATCAGACAAATAAATGGACATAATTACTGTTGTTTGACAGGAATTTCTTTGTGTTAATGAGATGTTGAATATCATAAATGCTGAAAAAAGTGCAGTTTTGTTTATACAGGACGCACTACTTCCCTTGTCTGTAACATATATGCCTGTTGGTTTGCTTGTTTTTGAAGCAGTGTTAAGACACAGAAACATTTTAATTTAAATGACAGACCCAAATGAGACATGGCCTGGTTTTTCATAACACACAGTGCATTCCTTCACCAGCAAATCCCCCACATTTTATTTCATATGTACACATAAACCACTTAAAATAGACTTAAAAATGAGAAAAATGCATAAGTGTCAGTCGCAAGAGAACAAAAAAAAATGCTCAAAATGATTTCATGACAGAACATAGCAAAACACAGAAAGGAAATGCACAGCAGGTCACTAGAAGTGTAAACAAATTGTGTCCAATACAAGAATATTGATTAGAGCACAGAGACATCAAAATTAAACTGCAGCAACAATTAAGAGAACTACAGAGTTTGGTTTAACATGTAGTGAGAGGATTTGCTGCAGGGATTGTTCCAAATGTAGCAGCATCACAGGGAGGGGTGAAGAAAATTATTCTGACTACACACAGTTTAATATTACAATCACTTTGACAGAATGGTGTGATGAATAAATCACTATATCACATTGTATCAAAAAGAAACCAAGCCACTGCAGCCTGAACGTATCTCTGACTTAATGAATCAACATTTGAACCATACACTGATACAGCCTTCATTTACAAAGTGAAAGTTAAACACAATCCTGAAGTACTTGTATATACCATGATCAAAACAAACGCATTTAAATTAAAGCAGCATTTAAGTGCACAGGAGTAAAACAGAAGTATAGATATGAAAGACAATTATACCTGTCCTTGGAGTAGTGCATTAGATGATCGTTACCCCAATAGTCATGGAAGTCCTCTATTTCCCGTGTCTCTCATCTTTGCAGCGCAGAGTAGTGATTGGTACCTTCTTAAATTTCATTCAATGAACAGCATTTATTCATTGTGAGATATATTTGTTTTATCAGGTCTGGAATCAAAGTGAGCAGTTCATGCTCCTCCCTCTCATTGTGATCTGATTTAATTGTTAATATCGTCAGAAGTACAGAGTAAATCTATTATTGTCTGCTGAAGATCATTAAACAAATCAACCCCTTCTGATTCACAGAGATAAAGGAGCTATTTAGTTATCAAAGCTTTTAGCTATATCAAGGGTGTTTTTCTTGACTCTGCACCAAATACACTATCAACACTCAAAACTGGGTGGACAATGTGGTAAACCTATTCATACAAACATATCCTACTGATTGTCTCATGCAACATTGCTCTGCCTTCACAAGTTATTTATAACTTTTTCAAATTGTTCAAGTTAAAGGGCATTGTTCAATGTGTTTACACCTGGGAATACCTTAAATTACATTAGCCTGGTTCAGGGATAACACTCTAACCTGTAAATCACATTTTTGTGGGTTCAGATACAACTGCTTAGTCTTGAGCACAAAATCAAGGCTTTCTTTTTACTCATTCATGCAATGTGGGAGTTTCTGACTGGGCCAGCATTTATTGCTCATCCCTAGGTGCCCTTGTGGACATGGTGGTGAGCTGCCTATTAAACTGCTGCAATCCACTTGAATAGGTAAACCTGCAATGCCGTTAAGGATGGCATTCCAGGATTTTGACCCAGTGACAATATATATATTTCTAAGTCAGGAAAGTGAGTGGCTTGGAGGGAAACTTATCGGTATTCCCATGTCTCTGCTGCCCTTGTCCTTCTGGATGGAAATGGGCATGGATTTGGAAGGTGCGGTCTCAGCAGCGTCTGTGAATGTCTACAGTGCATCTTGTAGATGGTACACACTGCTGTTGCAAAGTGTTGATGGTGGAGGGAGCAAATGTTTGTGATATGGTGGCAATCAAGCTGGATATTTTGTCCTCGATGGTATCATTTTGAGAAATGCTATTGAGGCTGAACTCATTCAGGCAAGTTGGGAGTTTTCCATCACACTCCAGATTTATGCCGTGTAGATAATGCACAGGCTTTGGGGAGTCACTCGCTACAGGTTTTCTAACCTCTGAGCTGTCTTATAGCACTATATTTATATGATTAATCCAGTTCGGTTTCTGGTCAATTGTACCTCATAAAGGTAAAGTTGCCATAGTTGCAGAAGGCCATAGGGCTGCTCTCTCATTAGAGGAAAATGACTGATGGTAAGTTTAATCTGAGTTTTACCATGCGTCAGGCAAGGGAAAAGGTGGGACCTTCATGGGGATCGGTTAGCTCGGTTAGCTGGACATCTGGTTTGTGGTGCAGGATGATGTCAACAGCATGTGTTCAATTCTTGCACAGGCTGAGGTTACCCATGGTAACCACTGAGATGTTGATAGTGGGGTTCACTGACAGCAACGCCATTGAATATCAAGGGATGATGGTTAGATTCTGGCTTGTTGGAAAAATGTTCAGTGCCTAGTATTTCTGTGGTGCAAATGTTACTTGCCACTTGTCAGTCCAAGTCTGGATATTGTCCAACTCTTTCAATATTTGGACATGGGGTGCTTCAGTATCTGAGGAGTTGCGAATGGTAAGGAACATTGTACATTCATCAGCTAACATCCTCACTTCTGATCTTATATGGGAGGGAAAGTCATTGATAAAGCAGCTGATGATGGTTGAGGCTAAGACACTACCCTTAGGATCTCCTGACTATGAGAGGACTGACCTCCAACAACCACAGCTTCTTTTGTATCAGGTTGACCCCAAGCAGCAAAGCATTTTTGTCTTGATTCCCATTGACTCTGGTTTTGCAATGGCTCCTTGATGCCATATTGAGTCAAGTGCAATCTTGATGTCAAGGGCAATCACTCTCACCACACCTCTGGAAATTGGTTGTTTCATCCATGTTTGAATTAAAGCTGTAATGAGATCAAGAGCTGAGTGGTCCTAGTGGAACCCAAACAGTGCATCAATGAGTACGTTATTACTAGACAAATGTTTTTTGAAGCACTGTTACCTTCCATCACTTTATTGATGTTCAAGAGCAGACTGATTGAATGGTAATTGGCTGGGTTGGATTTGCCTTGCCATTGGTGTACAGGACATACGTGAGCTAACAAGGTGTAGAGCTGGATGAACACAGCAGGCCAAGCAGCATCAGAGGAGCAGGAAAGCTGACGTTTTGGGTCGGGATTCTTCTTCAGAAATGGGGGAGGGGAAGGGGATTCTGAAATAAATAGAGAGAGAGGGGGAGGCAGATGGAAGACGGATAAAGGAGCAGATAAGTGGAGAGGAGACAGACGGGTCAAGGAGGCAGGGATGAGCATGGCTGGTTTTGGGATGTGGTCGGGGGCGGGGAGATTTTGAAGCTTGTGAAGTCCACATTGATACCATTGGGCTGCAGGGTTCCCAAGCGAAATATGAGGTGCTGTTCCTGCAACCTTCAGGTGGCATCGTTGTGGCACTGGAGGAGGCCCAGGATGGGCTCAAATATGTGAGCTATCTTCCACATTGTTGGGTGGGTGCTAGTGTTGAGGCTGTACTGGAACAGTTTGGCTAGGGTGCAGAATCTCTGGAGCACAAGTCTTCAATAAATTGCCAAATGTTATTAGAGCCCATAGTCTTTGCAGCATCCAGCACCTCCAGCTGCCTCTCGATATAATGTAGAATGAATTGAGTTGGCTGAATTCCAGCTTTGGTGCTGCTGGGAACTAGCACTTCTTCAAAGAAAATGGTATTTTCCCCAGACTGCCAACAGTCATTTTTATGTAGTGCCCAATTAACCGGCACATTCTGAGGCTGCACCAGACCGCTCATAATCTTGATTTCTTTGGATTTCAACCTGACCCTCTGTCAATATATCTATGCTATAAATAAGATCACCTAGTTCCAACTCTGTAACATCAATCAGCTCTGTTCCTACCTCAGCTCATCTTCTGCTGAAACCATATTCCATGCATTTATTATCTCTGGACTTGACCATGATGCCATTCAAAAATTTGTTGCTCATGTCTTTACTCACACTATGTTCACCTTTCACCCCTAAATTCACTGATCTACCTTGGCTTTTTATCAAGTTTTGCCTTAATTTTAAAATTTTCAGCAACATAGAAAATAAGAACCGAGAAAGACAAGTCCCTTGAGGGTGCTCC